TCAGGGAGAGACACTGCATTATTCGGACTTAAAACTCAAGAATGTCCCTGATGAATACACAGCATGGTTTGTTTGTCTTAGCTGGTTTACACTGGTCTCCCAAGCTAGAAAACACCCAAAACACCCTGAAAGATCAGCTATAGGTTGGTGTTTCCAAATTGTTAATGGAGAAAACAGGAAAGACACACATCATTATTCAACAGTTTGGGGGTGGTATGATTTTTGTTTCTGAAAGAAGTCTTTTTTGCTCACGAAGGCTGCATTTTTTTTTAATGAAAAATCAAATAAAAACAGTAATATTGTAAAATGTTATTACAATTTAAAACAACTGTTTTCTATATAAATAGATTTGAAAATGTACACAGCATGGTTTGTTTGTCTTAGCTGGTTTACACTGGTCTCCCAAGCTAGAAAACACCCAAAACACCCTGAAAGATCAGCTATAGGTTGGTGTTTCCAAATTGTTAATGGAGAAAACAGGAAAGACACACATCATTGTTCAACAGTTTGGAGGTGGTATGATTTTTGTTTCTGAAAGAAGTCTTTTTTGCTCACGAAGGCTGCATTTTTTTAAATGAAAAATCAAATAAAAACAGTAATATTGTAAAATGTTATTACAATTTAAAACAACTGTTTTCTATATAAATAGATTTGAAAATGCAATTTATTCTGGCAAAGCTGAACTTTCAGCAGTGTCAATCATTATAATATGCTGAATTAGTGTTAAAGAAATATAAAGTTCAAAAGACAGAATTTAATTTTCTTTATTGTAATTTTTGATATTTTTAAAGCATCCTTGCTGAATAAAAGTAACAATTTCTTTAAAAAAATATCTTGCTGACCCCAAACTTTGAAAATATTTGTCATTCTCATAGTAAAATCATTACAACATAGAAGAATGCTTCATGCTTACTCTGATTTAATCTAATATCAAGTTTGTTTTAGTCTCGCATGGAGAAAGACACATAGTTCCGGCCCTGGACAGCTGCAAAGCCCCATTTGAAAAGTATAGAGAGACAAACACATCCTCACTGACACGTTTATTATCCTCTGACCGTGTTTTCACGAGGTTTTGAGTTGGCACCAAGTTCATGCATAGTTCTTAGAATCTCTGTCCCATACTAGGCAGAGTCCCAAGACGCTGAACTCTAACAAGAAGAAACCAAAGGTTTCTGGCATCAGCTACGAGACAGACCTGATTAAAAATGAGGACAAAGACAGTGTGAAATATTATACTCCACTACCGCAGCCAAAATCAACTGTACACTCTGGTAGCCGGGCTGATAGAGAGTTCTGTGACACAGCAGCTATGTGGATCAAGAGTAATATCCTACAGAGCATTCAGTCAATATCTCATCGCTAATTGGGAAGCTTTATCTATGCAAAAACACATTAGCTCTCTGTCTTTATTTTTCAGCATCAGAGTCATTACCGTCTCTACTCATTGGCTGCTAGTGTTGATAAAATATAGCTATGGCCATTTCAATCCTCTATCTCTCTTTAGTTCATTTTAAGTAAAAGTGAAACAGGACTCGCAAACCATTTAACTTCGGTTATGTGACCGTTTTCAGTACGATTTTGAAAGAAGTCTCTTATGCTCACCAAGGCTTCATTTGATCAAGAATAGAGTAAAATTGAATATATTATAAAAATTTCAATGAACTGTTTTCTATTTTAATATATTTTAAGATTTATTTTATTCCTGTGATGCAAAGCTGAATTTTCAGCATCATTACTCCAGTCTTCAGTGTCACATGATCCTTCACAAATATTTTGAATATGCTGATTTGGTGCTCAAGAAACATTTCTTCTTATTATACATGTTGTCAACAGTTGTGCTTCTTAGTATTTTTGTGGAAACCATTTTTTTCAGGATCTTTGATGTGTAGAAAGTTTAAAAGACCAGCATTTCTTTTGAAATAAATTCTTGTAACAATGTTGCAAAAAATATATATATTAAAAAATAATAATAATAAACTAATACATATAAAATAAAAACTGACTGACCCTAAATGTTTGAAAGGTAGTGAATTTCTGAATAAATAAATAAGGCGAGACTTGATTTTATTTATCTGGAACTAATTTGATTATGAAATAATTTGAGACCCAAATGCAAGTTCACAATCAATTCATTAAATGTTAATCCAAATAACTATAAACATAATAAAAATTCTTTAAGAAAATGTAATGTGTTTTAAAAACATATTCTCTGCAGACCCCCTGCAGTACTTTCCTGGCCCCCTGGTTGAAAACCTACATGCCTAAAACTGTCTAAATAGATTTTTTCTGGCTTTAACATTATTTTCCCTGCTCCGATTTTCATAGCAGAAAAGCAAGGTAATTTCAGTTTTTTTTAAATGAAATATTGAAATATTGCAGCAGATATGCAGTTTTTTCTTTGCAGTTTGATGAGCAGTGTTGGGGAAAGTTACTTAAAAATAAACCATTACAATATTGTGTTACTCCCTAAAAAGTATCTAATTACTTAGTTACTTTTTATGGAAAGTAATGTGTTAAATTACTTTTGCGTTACTTTTTCTCATCTGGCCTGGGCTTGCTTGTTTGTTTTTAATATAATAAAGCTCTGCCTTTGGCAAATGTATAAGCCCTTTCACACCAAAAGTGCTCAAACAAACCTCTCAGCTGTGCTGCCATTCTGGATTACATGAAGAATAGGACATAAGAGAAGAAAGTTCAACACTTTTTTCTTGCTCACAAAAAAAATAAAAAAATCAATTTAACTTTTTTTTTGCATTTAGTTAGGTTTCTGGTGTGTGTGCCAGCTCAGAAAAGCTGAAAAGAAAACACACTGCCAGTTCGTTATGGGCTGTCTGAGTCTGAAATGGTGTCATCCAGCGAGCTGTTTCAATTTGCAGCTGGTTTCTATGTAGATATCTAGCTACTTGAATAAGATCACCTCTGAGCCATATACAGAGTCCAAGACAACAATTCACACATTGTGTCGACATGCCCCATGGAAGATAAGGGTTTTAACCAAAGTATGTTACAGACATTTCATGATAATTCTAAAGAATCATACCAACTTGTGGAAATGGGCATCCTTGTCACCTTTAACATATTTCATTATTGCAGGTTTGTGTAATATTCTGAGTTTGCTTTTCACTGTTTTTATTCATTTCGAGGAATACTGAATCTGTTTTTGTGCAAATGAGATGAGTAAATGGATGTTCACATTTAGTCTAGAAGCACAGTAACAATCATGTTTACACAGCACACACAATGCCTCTGCACTTACTCATGATTTCTCTCAACATGGGAACAGGAGAGCTGTCCATCAATAAATGGGAAAACAATCTGGAGTCACTTATTTGAACTCAGATATTTCCTTGTAAATTAAAAAGTAATGCATTACTACTAGTTACTTTACCCGTGTTACTTGTAATGCGTCACTGTTGATGAGTCATACAAAATAAGACTAAGAACTTGTATTAAGAAAGTAAATAGAGTCAATTTAGCTGAATTTCAAGTTATGGCTATATAGTGTGCGCTTCTTTTCCATTTGAGGCTGTAAGAAAGACTGATGCAATAAAATCGTACATACCATTAGCTAATGTAATGAACCTTGGGTTAAGAGCAAGGCCAATCTTAGAAATTGCTTTAAATAGTGATAACTTTCATAAATGTTTCATTGTATGCCAATCAATATTTCTTCACTGCTCTTATAAAACCAAATGAAATACCCCATAGCCTGCCTACAGAGGGTAAATAAAGCACCGCTGAGCTCTTGACGTCGTCTCATAGGTCTGTAACACACCCACCTGGTTCTAAAGGAAAACCACAGAGAGAATCATGGAACCCTGACCTACAGATACAGACCTCAGCCGTCCTTCTGTTGTGCTAGTGTTACACAAGTGTGCAGAAACATATCACACTATTAGTAAAACACGCTTGTATAAGCAAACATTAACTATGCTTAGTCAAGCTGCCAACTGATAAACCACACATTTGAGAAGAGGGGCCTGATTTGCAGGGCCCAAAAGCACTTAATGTTCAATCCCTTCCTTATTCGCAAGCCACTCAAAACATCTCCAGCACTGAGAGGAATTCACGAAGCACGCTCCCTTTTGGTATCGCTACTTTCAAAACAGATTTCCAAGCCTGTTTTTCTTCGTTTTCTCTGGCAATAGTAAAGTAACGTTTTTGCTGTAAACGCTGCCAAAGGCTACACAATTGTGAGCGTGATTATTGCTTGTAACTGGAAGAGGGTTTTATGGACAATGAGGCCAGTTTGGGGCACTGAGACTAAATTGGGTGCACAAAAAAAGCATAGACAGATGGAGAAAAACGAACATCAGCGCTTAAATGACATATTGGTGGAGGTAAAAACAATAATTAAGTCACTATCTGAAGTCACTGATGGGACTTTTTATCTATGAAAAAGTGCTGATATGAAATTGCATGACTGGAGTAGTATCAAGTAATTAAAGGCTACATTGTTCGACCAGTGATGACCATCCGTATTGAGCAATGAATATCATTCATGGCATGGAAGATAAAATCAGCAGAACATCGGTTCCATCTGGTGGCCAGACAGACAAATAAAAATACAACCTTCTCATTCTGTTGTTTCAGACCTGATTTAAATGTTCAGCAACATTTTGACATCCAATATCAGGGCTCAACATTATTCAAAATAAAATCAAAATAAAGTATAACAAATATTAAAATATAAAATTTTAATCTCTTTATAAAAGTTAATTTTTTAAAATAATTTTTAATAATTTTCAATTTGTAATAATTATATATATATATATATATATATTTTTTTTTTAAATAATTTAATGTATTTAAGTATTGTATAGAGAGAAACAGAAATTTAATTTTTTTTTAGCAAAAAACAAAAAATTGGTGAAGAAACATTTTTATAATTGTTGAGCCCTGAACTTCAATCACTGCTTTAGGATAAATTCTACATCCAATAATGAAGTGCAAGATTTGTAAAGACTCGACTCTGACTAACCAACACTTTACATGAGTTTATTGAAATACATACAGCATTAGCACAGATTGAACAACACCATATCACTGAAATAGTACTTCTACTGAAATAATGAAATGAGCAACATTGTCCATGGTATGAAAAATGAAATGTTATAAAACAGCAAAGGCACTTTTTCATAGGTCTGAAATAAACCTGGTCACTTTTGATAAGAAGTTATCGTAGAAAGGCACATGAAGTATTATTAATCTTGCATGTTGCTCCTAATAATAGACTATAGATGAACCATCATGCTTGTGTTAAACTATTACTTCGGGAAAAGTTCAAATATACTTTATATATATACAGTACATACTTCACAATCAATTTCTTCCAATGTCACAAGCGTAGCACAGGCAATACCGAATAACTTGAGGCAGACACACCTACAATACTTAGAGTTATGAAATTTGCCAACTTCATATTTTGCTTTCACATATTTTTAGCAGTGTTAAAAAAAGGTAAACTAATATTTATGGTCACTTTTAGAACATTTTTGTCCCCAAAGTTCCTATGTAATTACTCTAGCACAAATTAATAACAAAAAAATAAAATAAACAACAAAAAAGTAATTTTAAAAAATCTGACTAAGTGTCACAGGCTGAAGGATTAACAATTTGTTTTCAGAAACAACATCTACCCATTAAATATATCAATTTTTAACATAGTACCCAGCCCTGAACTGCTAATTTATATAGAAGTGCTATTTAAATGTGTTACTCCACAATAAATTACCTATTGCCACACTAAAGTACCTTTTACGCAAGTATTCTGTTAAACAACAAGCTAGATATGCTAACATGTGCCTCTGATGGACTGGCAGCACCATAATATATTAATTTGGATCAGTGATTAATATTACAGCACAGTCTGTTGTTCATGGCAGTGCGGGAGACCCCGGTCAGAGTGTGTGACCTCATGGTGGAGTGAGGTGTAGCGAGCTGTACTGGTGAAGGGTGTGTCGGATTGGGCTTATCTGCTGGATGCACAAGTTTCAGGAGCTCTACAGAGGACATGGAGTGAAAACGGCCCCCTGTTTAAGCCCCCACGGCCCTCTCTCCCCATTGCTAAATTGTATATTATAGAGTGTCTACTGTACAATGCATTGAAGAAGTTGAACCCTGAAGTTGAAATGTTATCCCTGTAAAAAAAAAAAAAAAGGTAGAGAAGGTTTCAAGCAGCAGTATCATGCATAAATGAATTTGTGGCTAAACCCACTATGTTGACGGTCTGTAGGCGAGTTATTGAGTTTATTTGTTGCACTGGAAATGTGTGGCCTTAGGTTTGAGTAGCTTGCATCTGTTAAACCGACGAGTAGTGCTGTTACCTTAATGCTAAACAAGATAAACTAACAATATTGACTTTATAAAACATACTAACAGCCATACTGAGTTTGAAATACAGTAACTCCATGAGAAGTGAATTATTGAGGATATCAACAACACGGTGGAAGCGACAAGTACAGTAAAAGTCATTTCATTCATTTATCCTTCATGTGTGGAGACAGTGACTCCTATGATAGAGGTACACTACTGCTCAAAAGTTTGGGGTAAGATTTTTTTGATAAAATAACACTTTCATTAAGCAAGGATGCATTCAATTGGTAAAGACTATTTCAAATAAATGCTAAATAAAAGTTTTTACAAAAATTAATGAGCAACACAACTGTTTTCACTATTGCTATTTATAATAAATGTTTCTAGAGCACCAAATCAGCATATTAGAATGATTTCTGAAAGATCATGTGACACTGAAAACCAGAGTAAAGGCTTTAAAATTCAGCTTTGCCATCACTAAATAAATGATATTTTATTATAAAATAAAACAAAGTGTAGTTATTTTAAATTGTAATAATGTTACACAATATTACTGCTTTATTGTATTTTTGACCAAATGCAGCTTTGTAAGCATAAGTGACTTTTTTCAAAAACATTGAAAAAATCTTACACGTCAAACATTTGAACAGTGCAAGAAGGGAGACAGCAGTGAATTATTCATTAAGCAAAAAGGCTGCTTCTCATTTCATTAATTGTCCATCCACTTTACCTTTACTTGCAGTATAGCTCCTTTATCTTAAGATCTTAAGGACGCGAGTATGAGATAAAAGGACGGAGGAATCAAAGCAAAACGGAATATGCTGTTCACTCGAGCATTACTTTTAAATGACATTTTTGCGCAGCTATACTACTTAAAAAAAATATGTGTGCTTCAGGTGTCAGTACTGAGAAGACAAGAAAATCTAGTGGTGAATGGCATCTTTCTGCACAGCAGTAATTCTCACATGTCATGTATCAATGTACTGAACAACTGAAACAGACTTTAGTGTCATTTTTGCGTTTTTAAATACTTGTCATGGCATCATATACTTTTGTTGTTGTCCATGCATTTTTTAAATGACTAAGTACCTACCAGCCCTATGAGACTAGTCACCAATCATCTGTTTCAGATTTGAATTGCTTTAAGTCTTGGTGATTTAATGGTTTTTGGAGATTGCAATATTTCTAACACAACACAAACATGAGCAGTTTGAATAGGTGAGAGAGAGTCTCACCCACTCAAGCTCAGTTGAAGTCTCGATTGGGGAAAATAACAGGAGCCACAAGCGTCCACAGGTAGAGCCCCAGACTCAGCCAGCTGGAGCTGATCTTTACCCACACTGCAGGCATAGTGCTCTGCATGGCCTGAGTGGTTGTATCAGGTCTGAAGATAAAAGACAAAGAACAATATTTAGACCTCAGCTAGTCTATGGTGCAGTTCTGTTGTATGCTTTGTGACTGCATAAAAAAATGACCAGTACATCCTTCAAAGTGTAAAAGAATCAAAATGAAAAAATTTCATACAGGTTTGGAACATAAACGATGACTATTTTCATTATTCAGAGAACTATCCCTTTAAACTATGATAGGTGAAAGTACTTTAAAATGACAAACTTCACCTTTAAAAAAAAGTGAACTTTTCGGTTCACTCTAGATTCAAAAAGTGGAAGAATGAGCACTTACTTGTACCAGTTAGTGAGTGTCATCATAATGTAGAGAGAGGCCAGTAAGAGGTGGAAGTGGAAAAAGGAATAGTTGTATGTGACCCCGTCCTCTTCATTATCCACGACACGCCGCAGTCCGTCTTTCCCCACCTCCTCTCCTCCCACAGTGCCCTTCCCCTCCTCCGTCTGCATCAGCCTGTTCACCTGAGCGTTACTGGATGAACGGATGCTGAAAAGAGAAAAGACATGGACACTAGCATGACAATGATGTTCACTTCTCTTAGATTCATATTTAATTGATTATGAGCTAGACTGGGGGTAGAGTTCAAAGGCAGAGAGGTTGTTTTTTTCTGATATTGTAAAATATAACATTTTCTCACACTTGCCAATGAATGGCAAATTAACTGAGAAACTTTGGGGGTCAAATGTTAATACTTTTATTTCTAAAAGACATATTAAAACTGACAGTAAAGAAAAAAAAAAGTAAATAAATGCTGTTCTATTAAACTTTATATTCATGAAAGAATAAAAAAAAAAAAAAAAGTTCATGATTATGGTTTCCAAAAAATATTAAACAGCACAATATGTGAACAGTAATAAATGTGTCTTGAACACCAAATTAGCATATTAGAATGATTTCTGAAGGATCACATGACACTGAAATCTGCAGTAACAATGCTGCTGAAAATTCAGCTTTGCCATCAAAGGAATAAATTACATTTTACACTATATATAAAGAAAATTTTTAAATTGTAACAAAATCTCACAATAGTACTGTTTCATTGTGTTTTTGATGAAATAAATGCAGCCTTGTTGAGCATTCTTCTTTCTTTCTAAATAAATAAATAAAATCTTAACGACCCCAAACTTTTGAACAATACTGTATATATTAGTGCCATTCAAAAGTCTGAATGAAAATTAATACAAATCTGATTCGAAATCTAATTTGAACCTGCAAAACCTTTTGAAATTTTTTTATGAAAAACTTTAGGATTTTTAAAAATCTAAAGAAATGTTGACAAACTGAATACAAATGTTTAAGATTTTAAGAAGCACAATATTTAGGAAGCACGGTTAATAAAATAACACATTTATGTCACTGACCACGTTAAAGGCCAAAGCAACCATTTAATGTGGAAAGTAACTCTTTACTCTCTACTTGCCAAGGCCAAATTGAACTCACAGTTGCTGCTTGGCAAATGTTAATTTTGGACCCTGCCTACAGGTGTCAACATCTGACACCACTAATCAATCAATCAACCCATGTCTCTGTGCAGCTGGATGCGAATGTTAAATTTGAATGTACAACGAATCAGCATGGAAAACACCAGTTAACTACAGTAGCTGGTGTAGAAATAGATGGTCTTTATAAATTTAAATAACACTGATAGTAACAAGAGGGCAACTAAAGAAGCAAAAGTCATGTTCATAAATGTCTTTGCTTGATGTACCTGGCATAAAAGGTGCAGAAGAGGAAGATAACCAGTCCCACAATGCCTTGCGCATCCCACCACTGCACCATTCCAGGGGAGCTTGTGGGCATTGCTTCAGTTGTGCTGATATTGGACACCAGGCTGAGCAAACTAGGGTTACATTCACGGTCTATGCGTGGAGCCAGACAAATGAAAAGTTTAAAAGTGAACAACAGAAACATGATCACATGAACACTATGATCAAACGCCTAGTGGTGAGCTAATAATTTTTTCAAACTTATCTAGGTTGCTAATAGGTATACTTACTAGACATAACAGAATCTGGGGATAGTGGGTTAAATTTCTGGATTCTAACAGGTAATTTGGCTTTATTCAGTAACAATCATCAGGAGACTATAAAGGTTGAGCATCTGGTTTGCATGAAACCACAAAACTCACCAAAAATTGCATCAACCTGAGTAGGAACGAAATGAAAGCTCATAAAATGAAAAGAGAGAAAAAAAGTCAGACAGTAAATATTTTCTGAGTTTTTTTTGCATGTGACTTACTAGGATTGTTGGTCATGGCGGACCAGGTGACGTACATAGTGTACATAGTAATAATAGAGGACTGAAGCAGACCAGACTGAGGTGAGGCATCCTACAAACACATACAAAAATAAAGCAACATATTTAGTAAAGCATACATCAGATTTGAACTACCCTTGTAAGAAACAACAGAATATAAATTGCAGATTTTCATAATGGCTGGCACAGTGAAGAAAGCTTGTCTGTTGTGGCAGGCCAGCATTTATATTCTGTATGCAAAGAAGGAAACAAAGAAGTTTCATAACAAAGACAAAAGCTGGAGGCTAATGTAAACAGTAGATGACCTTCAGTACAACAGAGAGGCTGTTTTCTTATGCACATTATTATAAATCAGCATTCATGTCAGGATTTGTGTGCTGAGGCAATCGCATATTTGAGAACAGCTAGTTAAAGCAGTTTTGTCATTTCCTGTTTGTTGCTTTACGTTCAAGGACTTAATGCTGCTTAATAGCTTAATATGGTGTTGTTTGGCCTTTTATCGATATTTGTTTAAATAGTTTTTGGGAATTTTTGCAGTGCAGAGATGAGACAGGGTACGCAAAGCACTCTGGCATGCTTTAGTACTTTCACTTTACCTGCACTTTAGGCAGAATGGAAAGCACAGATATGATGACACAGAGAATAAGGTTGAAGCTGATGAAGAACTTGTGTTCGGTGCAGTTGTCAGGTTTGGTGTAGTAGAGATAAAACAGCACGATTGCAGCAAAGGCCAGGGCGTAATGCAGGATAGTGAAGAACAACAGACCTGTAGGCATAGAAAATAGTCTCATAGTTTCTTTCTCTGAAAAGAGTGGATTGGGACACACCTGTTTGCAAGCCTATTGTGATGAACAGGATGTCTTACAGTGTATGTGCTCTCTATGTACCTGAGAACCAACACTTGCTGTTGCCTTCCTCAGCATTCCTCATCCACACCTCATTCCAGGAGTGGGCAAAGTCGATCAGGAGGATGAGCTGGATCAGGATGAACATGAAGGAGCCCACAATACCAAAGTAGAACCAAACTGTGATTAAAAAAAAAAGAAGAGAAGTTATGCTTCAGTAGCATACTGGTTAAGTGTGCTTAACAACAACACAAAATCAAAATCGAGGATTTTTTTTGAAAAGTGAAAAGAACTGTTTTATTTGAAATATTAATATTTTGTAACTATCAATCACTAAAATCACTTAATGGGTGTTAAATGCATTTTAAATGCCATTTCATGTCTTTAATTTCTGGTGTGTACCATCAGTTGCTTTCAATAAAAACTGCAAGAGACAAGTAACCAATAGAGACATTGAGTGTTGAAGCCTTTCAAAGGGGTGCATATCAGAATAATATATTGTATTCAGGAATCCTATTAAAATCTGAACACAGAAAAAAGTTGTTCAGCCAAAAATGAAACTTCTGTCATCATTTACTCCCCCCTCATGTCGTTCCAAACCTGTTTGCTTTCTTTTTTTCAGTGAAACACAAGCGAAGATATTTTTAAAAAAATGTTGGTAATCAAATGCTTCTAGTGACCACAATGGGACATTTCTCAAAATATCTTCTTTTGTGTTCCACAGATAAAGGAAAGTCACACAGGTTTGGAACAACACAAGGGGAAGAATTTTAGTTTTTGGGTGAACACGTTAAACTATATTTATAACTATGCTTAATAAAACATGCTTCCCTGAAGGGCCTATATTCTCATACTTAAATTCACAATGAAACGTACTAATGTCAAGATCTTGTTCTGGAAGTTACCCATGATCACTGAACACAATGTTCTGCATCTTTAATTCCACACCATGAGAATTCTGGCAAGACAGTAACAACGTGTTCTCACTGCTAATGTAATATGCTATAAAAAAATAATAACATCCTATTCCACTTTTAATACGGTCTTTTCCCATGCATCTCATAACATTCAAAACAGTCATTAAAAAGTAATTGACTTCTTCCCTGCAGGAGACTAGGCGTTTTCTGCATCCCTTGAAATTTAGCCCTGCGTTATGACAATGGCTTGCCAGAATAACATTATCATGACTATTGCTGCATTTAGAGCTTAACATCTTTGCCATGTTGTCATTGCATTTTTGTATTTCCCTATGAGAAAATGGAAATTGTTCTGTTATGTGCAGTTAACAGAATAGTTCAACCTAAAATGTACCATCATGAAATGTTCCATCCGGAATGAAAAAGGCTCCGACAGTGATGCCAACAAGTATCAGAAACTTGAAGAACCAGAACCTGACAAAATAGTCAATGATGAAATCAAGCTAATTTCATTTTCAATGAATGTAGTAAATGTTACAATGACAGTAGCATAATAATGTAACGGTATATAAATAATAATAAAGGGCTTACCCATTCTGAATAGCAGCACGAGGGTCTTTACTGCTCTTTACACGAATCATGATAGCAGAAAAAAGGAAAAAGAAGCATGCCATAGCAAAACACATGCGGTACACTGATTTGTAGCCTACAATCACATCGCAATTGACATGGTTCTCGACCCCTGGTATTGTGGTTCCTCCTTGACAAAAGCCAGGAATCTAAAGAGACATTAAAAACAGAAAATTAACACACTACAATGAAAGCACATGTGAGGCAAATTTAGATTGATGGTGGGCCCACCTTGCGGAGCTGCGTCTCCATGCCAGGCAAGATCATGATTACAGACACCAGTGTCCCCAGCAGAAGGAAGAAAGAGAAGAGCAGCCGAGTGACGGTGGAGTTATAGGAAGAAGGACAACAGCCACAGAGCAGACATGGAGCGGAGCCACACAAACACGAGGCCTGTAACACAGAAGGGAGTAAGAGAAAGAGCAATTATATCACCAGTTCAAGCATTTATTGTTAAAATGCCATAGTTCACAAAATAATCTGCAGAACATTATACAATTTAATATATATTTCGCTGATAAAGATTGTTTGGGGTTGTGAGTTTTTTTTAATGTTTTGGATGTCTCTTACACTCACAAAGATTGCATTTATTTGACAAAAACAAAACAAAACAGTGCAAACAGTAAAATTGATTTGAAAATTCAAGATTTGAAATATTATCATCATCTAAAGTAACTATTTTAAGTTTTGCATTATATTATATTTTAAAATGTAACTTATTCCTTTGACTACAAAGATGAATATTTTCCAGTCTTCAGTGTCACACGATCCTTCAGAAATCATTCTAATATGCTAATTCCTTATTATTAGCAATACTGAAAACTGTGGTGCTTAATAATTTTGTGGAAACCATAATGCCATAATACCTTATGTTCAGGATTCTTTGATGAATAGAAAGTTCAAAAGAACGGTATTTATTTCAATATAAATCTTTTTAAACAATATGCCTTCACTGTCACTTTTGATCAAATTAATGCATCTTTGATTCTGAATAACAATAAAAGCATTAATTTTTCAAATAAATAATAAAAAACTATAGTTTATATAAATATATATATATAAATTCCCTCGTATTACGTTTTGATAAAGATCAGCTCTCTTTTACTTTATTTATACTTTACTTACACACACACACACACACATATATATATATATATATAATAATAATTTTGAACAATGAGAACCTACAGGGTGTGTAAATCTGAACCATGTATAATTACATTTGTTCGAATTATTTTTACATTTTTTTCTGGCCTCTTTGAACAATTCCTTTAGTTGAAAGTGTAAGTGAATGACATTCATGCCCTACTTTGTATATGACCGCAGAAGGAAGGATTGTTTTGTTGGTTTGTTGGAGGAAACAGTGATGAAATCTTTGTTAAAGACTTTGACCCTTATGAATCCACTCATGCATACTGTATAAATGTCCATTTTAAAACCGTTACTCATGCTGGGAGTTGTTGATCAGCTGAACAACCTACCAACATTTTCAACTCAAACTGGGTTTCTTTTGACACAAGTCAGACCTTCACTTTTACATTTCTGTATTAAGCTGATGTGTACGTTTCAGTTCTTTGAAAATGGGCAAGGGACATTATTACAGTTGAACCCAAATTGTTATCCTCAATTACAAAAACTGACTTCTGAAAACTGAAAACCTGTATAACCCGATTATCTCAATCGCAAATAATCTCAAATAAAACACACCGAAACTACAAGAAGACCAAATCACACCAAAGACTACATTACTAGTATCTGGCTTGGCTTGACTGAAATATTATCCCCTGCATTGCTGTATAATTTCTATAAATGGTTCAGTTAATAATATCTGAACCTAATAATATTTGTTAGGAAGCCATGGAGGATCTGCTATAATTAATCTTAATACAAATATGAGCACACTTCTGTGTGTTGTTGTTTTTCAGCGTACAACTCTTCGAAACCACACATTTTTTATTTAAATACCGCCGTCCATTACGTTAATTTTTTATTAATATGTTTTTTGTTGTTGTTATATTATTCTGTTTTCGGTTCAATTAACAATTTAGAGACGCTGTTTGGTAGCAGCTCGGTTAGCTAAACCATGAAAAATAAAACTGAACACTTACACAGCTCGCAAGAGAACACAAAGCCATACAGGCTCCCATTTTGTATTAGAAACAACAACAAGCGACTCGACGAACTTTCAGAGGATAAACTCACAAGTCAATTACAGTATGAGCTATTTAACGTTCTGTCAGTTGATTCTGGTGTTTGAAGGTGGCGATTGTAATGGCAATTAATTATATTTCATAATAAAAGTCCATATAAACTCTACAAATAGATTGAACAAAACAATACAAATAAGACAGAATAAAATTAAAAATAAATAAAACACATCGATGTATAAATGTAATGTTATTTTTGTGGTATGTTATGTATTTTGAACTACTTTGCATATATTACCTATGGAGACTTTTTCCTCCTTCGGTATGTTCATATTAGTTTCAGTAACGTTAACTCCTGCTTGTGCTGAAGTCCACATGTAAATTAAGCAAAAATGTCTATTATAATGTATTTTAAATCATATGTTATTGGATATAACTATAACAACACAGCCTAAAATACAGTATTTTAATAGTATTCCTTTCTTATTCATATTAACATTGGTTAAGAATATTTAAATGCCAATAGTAGGCAGTTTTAGGACGCGGTAACTCTTATTTTGAAACGTGAGCTTAGTGCAAAATGTAAACGGCTTATATATTATCTATATTATATATTATAGTTTATATATTAATTAAACTTTTTTAAAAAGCCTTATATCTATATAAATCAGTACACTAAGAATAACTTTATATGTGATATTGATATTTAAATTAATTTGATATTATAGATCATTAAATTCCAATGATGATGATATTTGTATATTTCTATCAAACTGATAACATATTTTGATTAAGTAGGTCAGGTATTTTACAAACAGATGTAATTAACCTACATCTCTTTTTGACATTGCAGTGAACATTTAAGTGAAAATTGTATTGGATTTATGAATGTGTAAGTAGATTAATTAAGATAACGATTCCAGATAACGTGTATGCATACAGAGAATCTGTGATAATGTCAGTATTTGTGAAACATAACAGTGTTGATCATAATTGTATATAAATCCTGGTATTAACAGTTATGAGTAACGATAATGGCCCAGCTCCATCTTTGAGATGTAAGGTGGACCATAGACTCTCAGGGTGGGCCATACAATTTGATTGTAACCATTTTGACAAAACGACCATCTATGATTCTGTGAGTTTATATTAGACCCACAACAACAATTGTATATGTTAGATATGTGATTTCACTCTTACTGACCAAATACCAATACCCACTGACCAAACAGCTGTAGTTACAAACTTAATGAAGCGACAAATTTCAAAATCTGACTGGAAAGACATTTGAGTGCACTATAGGGATTTGTGTTGACATTTCAAGCTGAATTAGCAGAACATTGTGCTTCGATCGAGGCCCACCTCTCTGACTTGTTGAGTCAAGCTATAATCAGTTTGTAGAAAAAACTAATATAATCAATAATAACCAATAACCAGAAAATCATTACTTTGCCATCTTAATGCCATGGTTATTTGAAACGACAGCGATTTTTTTCAGTATTCATTCTCGCTGCAGTGCATCTCCCCTACGAATAATGAATGGTATCGTCCTCTTTGCCCCTGTCAATTATTCCTCTCAAATCACGATCGCAAACTGGAGCCGAGATGGTGTCAAGCCTTAGGACTGGGGCAGGTGGTCTCAAAACACACCGTCTCCCGTGAAAAGGTTGCATTCATTTATCAGTAACGTGAAAAATCTGCATCAGTCAGGGATATTGTGGATATCTGTCTACACCGCTGGTAAGTTCTCGCCTCTTCCTTATGTTGTTTGAGCTCGGCATGAGCTTAATCTTTGATCACAGTGTATGAAATTCATTTATTGCCATTATTAAGGTGAAACACTGACACGAGGCTTTGCTGTAACGATCACTTGCACTGAAATTCATTCAAGATTAATAATGGTATAACGACATATAGGGAGAATTAACGCCCCTTTTTATTGACTAAAATTAAATAAGGATCAGAACAAAATAATACAGAATATAAATAAACGCACTAATAAACGCAGATGTGAGGAATCGGGACGCGTGTGCAACATAAACCTTTATACATGTACATACATGGGCACGTACTGCTGTCAGATCAATTTCAGCTGTAACCCGAGGGCAACTTTAATATATTCACTGTAAAAACGGGGAAAGTAAAAATGCTGGAGTAGACTTCTAGTAACTGGCTAACTGTTAGTTACCTTAGTATAGAAGAAAAAAGAAATTACTTTATTTTTTAGAACATTTTATCATTATCATTATCTTACATATTACAAATATATATACACATATATATACACACACACACACACACACACACACACACACACACACACACACACACACACACACACACATATATATATATATATATATATATATATATATATAGGCCTATATATATATATTGTAGAATCTTTTATTTGACAAATGTTTATATATATATATATATATATATACATACAGTAGGAATTAAAAAAAAAAATTCTAATTTACCAAATTTACCTGCTTAATATTTTATTATTCCGTGTGTTACCTAGTGTTTTGTGTTTCTGGTTAACACTGTGCTCTGTTTTTTTATTGTTGGATACAGTTACCGGAGAGGCCCATTTTGAACTTGTGTCCCACTTGCCATCACACATTTTTATAATTAGAAATGGATGGCAGATTCAATAGGTTTGTGTATTAAATTGACATGAAATACAGTTAGAAACTGTTAAATATACAGTCAGTGCTGAAAAACGCTGCCTGCCCATCAGATTTTTCTCTCTTTGCACTCTTCATTGTCGACACTATTCCACAATCCTGTGTGTAAAAGTAATTTGCCTAATTATTTCTAAAGCTTATATGAATTTGTTCCAGATCATTAGACATGATGTTATGGTGCCTTGGAAGTCTGTGCGAAACCAGTGAAGGAAGCACCTTTCATACACAAACACTGCCTGAGAAGTACATGGGCAGTGAGGCAGCTGCCTTAGCTTTCAGACACACTCATTGTCACTATATTTCTTTACGGTAAAACATGATTAATAGGATTAAGATGACATCATCTGCTCCAGTTTAGCTCCGATTCAGGTCTTCACTCTGTCAGGGTTAAGCTCAGTTTTTCAAAAATGAAGGCCTGAATTTTAAAGAAAACAAAACACTCTTAAAATGTTCTACATTATTTTCATCTAGACACAGGGAAATGAAGCGAAAGAAGAATTCGTCATCTTGAGAGTGATCAGACGACAGTTCTTAAGATGACTTTAGTCTCGTCCCATGTTGTTGTCCTAAGATTCCCCTAATGCAGTGTCCAAATGTGTGTCGTCCAGTTTGAGAGACAGTATGAGGTCATGCCCAAAGTGTGGCCAAAGTTGTTCAGTCTGAATGCTTGGAGAAGTGAAGTGACCCCTGCGCGGTCCACCTCTATTTGTTTACATAGCCTGTCATATAAAGTCTGTCACTTCCTCTGCGTCTTATGCAACACTCTTTCTTTACACTCTTGTTGAACGGACACTTACCGTGATGGACATCTGGCATGATATTTTGCTTTTCTGTGGATATAGAACAATCACAAAATGAGATCTTTCAACAGAATGTAATATCAGTAATCTGGGTGCACCGTGTCTCCTCTAACACAATTATGTTTTCAGAGTGAAGGTCATTGCTTTGGGCTTCCAGCTGTTGCGTGACTGATCATGTGAGTCTAATAGAAAAACAAAAACATCACTCAAAAAAAAGAGCATTCGATCTACGCCATGTTTAACGTACAGCAGGTTAGATTCTGGTACCCAAACACAGATTGCATTTGACTTTTATTTGGCTATTTGTGTGAGAAAGCAAACAGGTACAGATGGTGTAATTTTGCACAAGCTGCTCAAATGAACCCATTGTTTTCTTACAAGAGTTATTTACAGATTCATCTTCATGCAAAAAACCAAGTTGTCAGGGACAAACAGGTTAAATGGGTAAAATATCCATCACAGGACTTAATATTTCTATAATGAATCTTATATGAAAAAAAGCTATTGTTGACAACACATTTTCCAGTACAATATAATAATAATAATAATAATAATAATAATAATAATAATAATAATGATAATAAAACATTTAATATTGTGTTTCTTTTAAAGATTAAAGATATACACTATAATTTTCAGTTTTATAACTTGGTTAACTATTTGTACAGTTAACATTCAGAAGTTTGTGGTTAGTAAGAAATTAAAACTGTAATTTCAACATTAAATTGGTCAAAATTACCAAAAAGATAATTGTAATAAAACAAATAAATGCTGTCCTTTTGAACTTTCTATTCATCAGAGAATCCTAAAAAAGTTGTATCATGGTTTCCACAACAATATTAAGCAACTAAGGTAACTAACAATATTAAGTTTTATAACATTTATAATAATGTTATTATATTATATGACACTGAAGACTGGAGTAATGACTGCAGACAATTCAGCTTTGCCATCACAAATAAATTACATTTTAAAATACACGAAAATAGAAAAGTAAAGTGTAATAATATTTCACAACATCCAATAAAAGCAGCTTTGGTGGTTATAGGAGATCTTTTTCAAAAACATTATAAAAATCTTTTAATTGTTTGTTTCATATAACATCATCTTTTCTGTTGTCTTTTCATGCATTTCTCCAACTTGTACATACAATTTTAATCAGCGACTGTGAACATTGTTTATTCTTTCTTTCAGGCACACTTACTGAAAGCAGAAGATTACACGTTTTCCCATCTACTTATCTACTAGTACTTATCTAATTATTCTTGGGTGAGGTTTTGGATGAAATTAAGAGACACTGTTCTTTGTACCTTAAGCTTTGAGGCAATGACATCTAGTTTAGTTGAAGATCTGTGATTAAGCAAGTCTGGACAAATTAGAAGTTTAACTAAAAATAAGGAGTTAACTATAAATAAGGAGTGTAGCTGAGATTGCAGTGGATCCACTCCAGTGCTGTCTCTCATCCATAATCCTCCAGCTTCTTACAATATGGATTATAAAACTATAAGAGCCACAGCTAGTCAGGCAGCCTGCCAGGAGATAGACAAACAGAATGAGAGAGGGACTGATGCTGTCTTAAGCTGTCTTTAGCCTAGCTGTGCTTTTACCAGTGAATAGTGTTTAAAGGAATATTCACCCAAAAATGAAAATTTGCTGAGGCCATCCAAGATGTATATGAGTTTGTTTTTTCATTTGAACAGATTTGGAGAAATTGTGCATTACATCACTTGCTCACCAATGGATCCTCTGCAGTGAATGGGTGCCGCTAGAATGAGAGTCCAAACAGCTGATTAAAAACATCACAATAATCCACATGAACTCCAGTCCATCAATTAATGTCTCATGAAGTGAAATGCAGAAGTGAAATCCATCATTAAGGCGATTTAACTTCTGGCCTAAACCAACATTTACAGACTCTCTTAAACTGCCTGATGAATGTTAATTAATGGACTGGAGACGTGTGGATTACTTGTGAATTATTGTGCTGCTTTTATGAGCTGTCTGAACACTGTTTGATGGATGGCCTGAGGTTGAGTAAATTTTCATCACATTTAAATTTTTGGGTGAACTATTATATACCTGTGAAGAGTTTTCGAGATCCTCAGCTGAGAGACCCTTGAATAACCATTTTTAATAGCATTAGTAGGCTGTAAAATGATGCCCACATTTATTATGTGGTTTATCAATGTTGTATGGATGTTTTAGCATCCACCAGGCAAAAAGGTGCTTAGGAAAGTATTAAAACAGCATGCTTTTCCTCTAAAACAGCACGATATGTGATATTTAAGGGATGATGTGTAATTTGCCCTTTTGAGAAACTAAGTGTATGTATAAACAATAATTGTGATGCTCAGAGGGTAAAGGTTCAGTAAATAAAAACATACATGTTTAAATTATGCTGCCTTTACACTGCAATAAACACTTGAACCATGCCATCAGAACAAAGAAAGTCTGACGTTTTATGTCTGCCGTCATAAAGATATGTTATCTTTGATAAAATGTGTCAAAGAAAATCTCAGTATTAAAGACCTACTTTCAGTTTTCAGTTCCTGTTCACCATGGCCTTAGGTGTCAATGATTTATTTATACTGTGTATACTGTATAAGCACTGATTTATTAGTCTGTTTTTTGGAAGTTGCTTTGAGTGTAAGACCTGTGGCTGGTTACATTAAAGGCTTAGACTAGTCTTAAAAGTTAGTCATCTAATTTTTTTCTTTAAGACTGATCATAATTAAAAAAAAAAAAGTCTGTTACATAAAAACATATAGCTTGGTCTAACTTGAATCCGAAAAATAAGACTGGTTACCCCTTGGCTAACTGCTAATTGGTCAAACTAGTTCTTAAGACACAGTCTTAACATAGTGGCTATGTTTATGCAACTGGCCCCAGTCTTATAAACCAGTTGAATTGGCCCTGATGTAATCAGCAGATTGATGCTGGCCCTGATGGTCTGAAGATGCACTCGTGCCATGTGAATTTTGCTATATTTATGCACAGGCATATGTTTGGGCAAGCACATGCTAAGAAAGGGATATGAATGCATGCATGTAGTCAAGTCACCCAAGTGTTCACGTACACACGCATGTGAGTATATATACAGAGACTGGCCTTGCATGGGAAAACAGCTTACTTGTATCTCGCAACAGCTGTGTCAAAAGAAAACAGAGCAAAAGTGCATCTGTTTGTCAGAAGAGATTACCTGTTGCTATGCAATATAGGTGATCCATCTGGTTGCCAAGACAACTGCTTCCTGACTGAGAGAGAATGGAGAGTGAATTGGGAAGGCTTTGCGTTCTAGAGTGGCCTGTTTGTGCTAGTGAAAGACAAGCCTCGGGCCACAGTGGAACCATCGAGATGGGTCAAGCATAAAAATGTTTGCTTATATAATTATGTTGTTCCTCCTGAGGGCAAGAAACAATTTCTGGGGCGCCACCTCCATCTAGTGGTCAGAGAAGACAATGCATGTGCTATATTTGAACAATGATCAGTTTTCACCATTGTACTGATTGCAAGCCTCATGTCAGCTCTGCCTTTTCTTTAGAGATGACAGAGGTGGAGCCGGTGTTGGATTTTGCCTCATCGGGCCGCTCTGGCCGTCGCAACGCACTGCCTGACATCCTGGGGTCTCCTGTTGGAGTCCCGCCTGACCTGTCTCTTAAACTGGCAGAACTATCCCTCACAGGTAATTCTTTTATACTTTGTATTTTATTTATGATTTTTAATGAATATTTATTATTTTAATAAAATATTAGATATGTAATTATAATAGATCTATTTAGTAAAATGATTGTATTTATTAAATGTATTATAATAAATGTTAGTTTATATATATATATAAATTATTGTCTTTATATATAATCATTATAATAAATATATTTAATTATAAATGATATATATATATATATATATTTATGAAATAAGAATAATTTCTAATCATGTATTATAATAAATTAAACAAAATATTTTTTATTTTAAAAATGTGTAATTATATTAGATATTTAGACTATTAGCTTTTTATGATAACCTGTAACGGCAAAAAATATTAGAAAATGTGAAAATAAAGTAAATATTGCATTTATTATAAACTATTATCATGTTATTGAGTTGTCGATACCACTAAAGTATGCAAATAGTTATACAGGGTTTCCTCAGTCATGGAACACCTGGAAATATCAGTTTTCCAGTTTGGAAAATGTATTATAAATCAATTAATAAAATCATAAGAGTATAAAAAATTTTTTTTTTTTAATTATGCTTAGTTCTGTAATATGTATTCTAAAACATATTGGTTCTTCTTAATTAATTGTTCAAACTAGTTTACAAATGTGACCCTGGACCACAAAACCAGTCATAAGTGTCAATTTTTCGAAATTAATAAATAAATAAGCTTCCCATTGATGTATGGTTTGTTAGGATAGGACAATATTTGGCCAAGATACAACTATTTGAAAATCAGGAATCTGAGGGTGCAAAAAAATATTGAGAAAATCGCCTTTAAAGTTGTCCAAATGAAGTTCTTAGCAATGCATATTACTAATCAAAAATTAAGTTTTAATATATTTCCAGTAGGAAATTTACAAAATATCTTCATGGAACATGATCTTTACTTAATATCCTAATGATTTTTGGCATAAAAGAAAAATCAATAATTTTGACCCATACAATGTTTTTTTGGCTATTGCTTTATACCCCAGCGACTTAAGACCTCCAGCTCCAGGGTCACAAATGATTCTTTAGTGAGTCACACTTTGTTCAAATGATTTTTGTCCTTATCTAGTTATCACAACTGATTGGAAATCTCAAGGAAATTCAAAAAGTGTGGTAACTGTGGTATGAGGTGTAATGATAATTTTAGAACTGAACAATAAAAACCCTCTGTTATTCCTATTGTTTATGTCTCTTTCGGTTTCAGACGGTCCAGGTGATGCTCAGTCCCCGTCTACGGAGGAACCCCCCACTCCTACAGAGAGCCCAGAGGTGAAGGATGGTTCCTAGGTGGCTGAGTCTATGCCTAAACCACAGAGATGGGGCCTCAACAGCCCCCGCCTTTCCCCTGGAGCTCATCCTCTACCGACTGTTCCTGATGCCTGTCAGACTGCATTATAGGAAGCAACAGAGGGCAGCTAAAATGTGAAATGAAGGACAAGGTCTTCAAAGGGTTTGTGCAATGAAAAAAAAACAGACTGCCAAAAGACAGGAAAGGAAGCAGAAGAGGATGTCGAAGAACAATCCTCACTTTTTTAAACACAGACATACCAAAACACTGGGGGATCTGCTTGGGAACGCTTTAATACATTTTACGCATTTGTTTGAGAAAATGCTTTTCTTTTTATGAGCTTTCTATCCAATAATGACTATTGTGAGTTATGTATACATCCAGTTGTGGTTTGATATTGTATGATATTATGTGATCTTAGAAATGTGTCTTTAAAAATCACTTGGAAAGGGTAACCGTGAAAGAATATGAGCAGATGTTTGCGAATATTCAAGCGTCATGTAGCATTATCTTCAGCCTTCAAATAATAATAATTATAATACATTTTTTTTAATAAAAAAAACATATATCTGTGAGTAAATTAATCAGAACTGCCAAACACGAAATGCAGTATGAAAAGCATAAATCAGAAAGGGAATAGTAATCATAAACTTTAGAGTATACAGTACTAGGAAAAAATAGTTTGCAGTATTTTAATAAATATTCAGAATGCCCTCCAAACACAGATTTTTAATTTAAATTTGAATGGGTCAGCTTATTAAAATAAATAAAATCACTGAATTTAATCTCAGTGTGCAAAGAATTTTATAATTAAAAAAAAAACTCCACTTTGTATTCTCTATAAACTCATGCTGTATGTGATGTATAGAGTTTTGTATAGAGTGTTCTTACTGAACAGAGTGTACTTGCAATATATGTTTATGTTTAGTAGATCTTTGATGTCAGTTTGATTCAAACTCAAGTTTGAATAATTAAGCTAATCCAAACTATAGGATGAAAAAAGAGTACCTTTTTTGAATGCGTGGTGCGAGGATGTCTAAGAGCCATAGCCTTTTTAAGGTCTGTATAGCCTAAACATGCAAACTAAAGGGAGGGATATGACTGTGATATTTGACAAGCCCAGAGAGATATTTTTTAGTGTCTGTGTCATAATATGCATACGTGTGGAACTGGTCTTATTTAATAAGTGTGAGGCGTTTTGAGATGTCGATTTTTTTTTACAGTATTGTCCCATTTATACTCTACACTGGTAACTTAATGCATCAATGTCAAATGTTGTAATTGCCAAACTGGGATAAAATTGCCTTTCTATGTTTTTACACTACAGTAACTGTGCTGTTAAAAACACATCAATGAAGTCACACAATGTGTGTATGGTATCTAACATTACAAAGACAGAGAAGCTGTATCTGTATATACACAAATATCAAAAATGAATGATACTGAAAGGGGCCAGTATTAGAAAACCCATTTAAATGCATTAAGTGCTGTTGTTTACCACCAGGTGGAGCCACTATTCACACGGCCCGGGGACATACAGGCCATTTGATGTCAATATGAAACAATAAGAGGGTGACCATGTGTTTCTCGGCAATAAACGTCTAACGTCATACACATATGCCATAATATATTTAGCTTGGTTTTTTACAGGAAGTAAGGAGGCACCTGAAACTATTCTTAAGTACACAATCAATACAAATGGAATGATCTTAGCAGGCTCTACAGTCAAAAGGAATTTATTTCTGGGTAGTGCATCCAAGCAGTGGATATAAACATGTAAGTCAGAGTAAAGGAAAGATCCTCTGCTGCTGAGGGTCTGTCCGCAAATCACAGAGCGCTTTGTGAGGCCTGGCAGTCAAAGATAATCTAGATTTGTAGGAAACACGTTACGACAGTGCAGCATTTGAGAAAGGTCTTGTGGTGAGAAGGTCATTAACTCTTTAAAGAAACAGTTTTCTCCAAAATATTGATGCTACACCATAAAAAAGATACAGGGATGGTTTATAGTGAATGCAGTGGCTTAAATTTAGTTTTTTGTTTTCCAGAAGACTAGAAATATAGCACACTAGTTATATGAATTAGTGACTGCTATAGTACTTTTACGGCACTAGCATGAACATACTCCATAGCATCTGATTTTGTTGTCTATGGAAGCAAGCTATAGTGGTTTGGAATGAGATGAAGGTGCATAAATGATGACAGAATTTTCTTTTTTGAGTGAATTATCCCTGTAAATCTTTACTGAAACCTGCATCTATATTCCTAATTATTATTTTTACACAATAGGAGCCTATTTTATTATCTTATACTTAATTCTTAGTAAATAAATTCCCCCAGGGGAGCCACAGGATTGTTGTTTTTATTGAAAAAGCACTGATTTAGAGTCATCCGGTATTTTTTCTATCACGCTCTCTGTTAATCATCTTCATATAATGTTCTTCATATGGCCTCAGTTTCACTGATTACTTAGATGGCAGTGACATTCTACTGCCATGGAGTGCCTACTATTGGCTCTCTAGTGCAGGCTTGGTGAGGACAACATCCAATAAAGATTAAAAGAGGCTTCTCATCATGATAAGACCCCTTCTTAAACATCTGCCCATCTGTGCCACTCTGAAAGTTTGAGACAACAACATCTGTGTTGAATCTGCAATGAAAAGGACATTTGAGGATTTGTGTCCTGCCTTGATCATTTAATCTCATCATATATTTGTCTATTAAATAAGTTGTGAATTTGAAGTAGTCAAACCAAACAAAATGCATAGTGTAAATGATACACAAAGTTATCTACATTTTGACTATGTCTTAATAAGCATCTGCTTCCACGGTATCACATAACAATAAGCTGAAGTACAACTTCCCTCTGGGATAGGAAATAGAGTTAAACTTCTTTGATTCTGCACGGGCTGATGTCCATATCCTATTTCTGACTCTTCTTAGTGGTCAAAACATTTGTTCCAGTCGTGTGAAAATCCACAACATAGTAACTTAATGAATTTGCTTATTAAAATATCATTAAAGGAATAGTTTAGAATTGCATCACTTGCTCACCAATACGTCCTCAGCAGTAAATGGATGCTGTCAGAATGAGAGTTCAAACAACTAATAAAAACATCACAATAATCCACAAGTAATCCTCACAACTCCAATTCAACTCCAATAAAGTTCCAGTGAAGTGAAAAGCTGAGTGTTTGTAAGAAACAAATCCATCATTAAAGTGTTTTAACTTTAGATTTATGCTTCCAGCCATAATCCATAATAAATTAAAAGTTCAAAATCCACTGACATATTTATTTTGGACTGTTTTCGCTTGTAAACGGTGGTTGATCTGTGCATATTTCACTCCTGATTCAGACTATAGATGACTCTTTCACTGGAGAATGCAATATGGATAGATGAAAATCAGAGGAGTAATTTTTCAACAAATTTTCATCTTTCAGTGAACTATTCCTTTGATGAATTTACCTCATAAAATATAATTTAAATGCTGCACTTTGCATTGTGGCTAGCAACACCCTTTAGTCGTAACTATATAATATGGTTCATGTACAAATACATGATATTTGCATGTATTGTGTTACGTACAAGGGACATAGGAGCTTATTTTATTTATTTTGAATGATTTGTATACAATGTGGGGCCTTGCATGTATTCCTCTCTCTCTCTATACAGCATTTGCTACAACAAAACTTTGTCAAAGGATGACAAAATCCCCCATTGTTAATGTACAAATAGCTGGAAATGCAATAAAAACGAATATTTTCATAATATTTTCACATGTATTCCTATACAGTGTTTGTTATGACAAAACTTTGTCAAAGGATGACAAACTTCCCCCATCTGTTAAATGTCAACAACATCTATTATTATTTATATGAGTGATAAACATGGCAGAGTGGCAGATCCCTTGACACATCCAGCACATGCGTTGACTTTGTGTCTGGCTGTCTGAGCATAGTGTTAGCTTGCATGTAGCCACCCAAATATGCTGTGAGGGAGTGTAGTCCCACCCCCCGCCTCACACTTGTATAACAAACCAACGAAGAATGGTGCCTGGGCCGTTGCTATGGCAACATGTTGCCAAGGAAACCACCTCGGCTAAAAAAAACACACCACATTGCTAAAAAACGCACTTACAGATGTGCCCATCTTCTATGTTTTGCACAAGGAACATTTTCAAGATTCTTTCATCTGATGTACTCGGAAATCTTGCAAGGACGAGGGCCAAACACTAACAGCAGCCAGCATGCATCACGTGATTCTGTTCGTCTTTACAGAAGCACAACATGGAGGGATGTGGATGTGGAATGGGTGAAGCCCGAAGCAAAGCTGAACAACAAAGGTTACATCCTTACAGCAGTGAGATACTATCACATCTGCCCACATGCGGTGCAGACAAGAAGCATGCTTCATCTGTTAATAACTACATGTCGTGTGAAAGCACAGCTATTAGTGACAACCCCAGGCAGTCGACATCAGCCACGGCAGCCTCAGATCTTCTGTAATAAAGGTGGAGACCTTAACCGAGGGGTGACCTTTTCTCTGGTGCTGAGCCTAATAGTATTTTGTGGCTATTTGGCTCTGCTGGGGCAGAGGAATTTGCTGTGTTGTCGCAAATGATGATGTGTTGATGTGAGCCAATGAAAAATAATCATCAGCTTTTGCAGCTCAAGGGTATGGGGTGGCAGTACCCACTCAGACGCATGGCACATGCCGTTTAACGTGCCAGTCAGACTGCCTGAGGTAGAGAAAGAAAGAGTAAGAGACAGTGCAAGAGGAGGAGGGGAGAGCAAAAGTGAGACAGAGGTGCAATAATGGAAAAAGACATGCAGACAAACATTAAGTCAGACCTCTTGGCGAAAACTACAATGAATTCTTATATGCGATTAACTGTATGAGCCACAGTGATCCAAGATGGGAAAATTATATTCACTGGTTGTACAATATGTAATGGCTTAAATCACTGGTTTTGCAAATGGAAATAGGATTTACACTGAACATACGTGGCAACTGAACACAAAACCAAAATTATTTAAAAATAGTTCATTAGGGAGGTGGAAAATGTTTCAGTAATAATAATTCCTTTTATAATCAAATTTTATTATTATTAACTGATAAGTCTTTTTTGCATGAGAATTTGTTTAGTTGCATTTAGTCCCATTTATTCGCTGTACACCAGCAAT